CCCGGTGACAGCGTGTCCCTCATGTCACCGCCCCAGCAGCATCCCCTGCCCCCTCACTCCTTCCCTCCGCCATGCGGCACATCCGCCATCAGCCGCATCAGTGACGCCACGTACCCCACCGCCTCCCCGCGCCGCTGACGGCGTGGGGTGTCACCCCCGTGCTAGCGTCAAGGTGTAGCTTCTCACCCCTTCACACGACCCACGTCACCTCTTGTACTTACGACACGGTGTACCCAACCCTCCTTGACAGCCCTGACCTGGTGTACCACAGCGCCGCGCACACATACAACAGGACGCGCCCCAGACCCAACGCAGGGTGTAGCAGGGTGTACCCCGTCACCCCCGCCTCACATCACCCTAACACACTCACGGTGCGGTGCAGCTCGCACCTGACACCCGCCACACCCCAGCTCATGGTTGCGAACCTGTTCCTCTGCAGCCCTGACATGGTGTATTCATCACCCCAAAAGACTCAACACACGGTGAACCCCACCATGGCCCTGGGCTCCCAAACTGGTGTTTCCCACCACACCTCACACCCATGACGTGATCTATTCATGAGGGCCTCCGACTTGCAAAGTGGTTTCTCCACCACACTCACGAGGTGGCGTGTCCCATCACACCTTCCACCGGCAGCACGGTGGGTACACCATCACCGCACCCTCCCACACCGTGACGTGCCCCATCGCAGCCTCGTGACGGCGTCCCCATCACGCCTGGCGCTCATCCCACGGCATCTCCCTCTTCACACGTGTGTGACCTGGTGCATCTGTCACCCTCACACGTGACACGGGCGCTCCCTCGCCCTCACGCCCATGGCAGTGGGTCTACTGCTCCCTTGCATCTACGAAGGCTCCTCTGGCTCTTGCTTGCAGACGCAGGCTCTTGCTCATGCTCCCACCACTACCAGGACCTGCGATGCCTGGGGCCGTAGCTCAGCCTCTCGCCGTGGCCATAGCAGGACACCTGGGGTGAGACCCGGCCCCTCCTTTGCTGATGTCTGCCACAGGCAGCAGGTCCCACCCCGACGCCCTGCCTGCGCCCAGTCCTCCCCATGCAGCATCCTGCCACGTCCCATAGCATGTGGCATCTCAAAAAAGCCAAATCCCGACTTCCCTCGCCAGGGCAAAGCAGCGACCACCAGCACCAGCCCTTGACGCAGCTCTGGAGCGATGGTGCTGGGGAGAAACTGGCTGCAGCCGTGCCTGCGCTGCCTCGAAAGGGCACAAATCTCCCTGTCCAAACCTCCCTGTCCAACCCTCCCTGTCCAAGCTCGGCTCCCACCCTTTCCCTAGGGACCAGTTAACCTCCTTCCCTCCCAGACCCCCGGGTTGGGGCTTTCTTTGTAACCATCTACAGCACGTAGACTTACAATGAGATTAAATTGTACTTGAAAACACGACCTTGCATTTTTATTTGAAGGAATTATGTCTATTTGATAGTGGATGTTAAAGATCTTCAGCAAAGCATCAGGTCGCACATTCATACATGCTCAGTGTGGAGTAGTTAACAGCATCGACATCTGCAGTGTTATCTCCGGCAGCAACGGTTGCATCCCTCGAAATGAGCTCAGAGCTACCGTTGGGACTCCAGGCCAATGTCCTCCTCTGAAGAGATGGGAAGGGAGGAACAACATGGAGAAAACCTCAGGTTTTCTTCACCATGTACCACGAAGGCTTCATGCACTTCTCTCTCGAGGTGCCAACACCCTGCTGCCTGTGTGCTCCTGACACACGATTTAGCCACAGCGAACCTAGTCACAACTGTGCACGTGCCACAAATGCATCGCTCATTCACATTCTGTGCCTGCCACCGAACCGTGCCTCTTCTTCCTCGTCTGCTTGGCCCCAGCCCCCTTCCAGCCCCGCTCGCTCTGCAATGGCTTCCCCGTGGGCATCCTCCTCGTGCCACGTGCTTGCAGGGTCTGGATGGGAGCAACGCTACCTACCCCACGGGCACCTGGTACCCCACGGGCACCTGGTACTCCACGGCACAGGACACGAGCTCTTCCTCTACCTCCCAGGTGAGGTTACCCACGCCACTGAGGGCTTTTGCTCCTTCCCGAAGGGCTAGCCTCCTCCAGACAACCCGAAATCGAAGGGGTGCCCAGCCGAAGAGCACAAAAACCCACAAAAAAACCCGTTTGTGTCCAGACCAAGAGATGCTGGGATGCTCAGAAGCTGGAAGACCTCATCCCAAGGGTGAGGGATGGGACCTGGCTCCCCGGGGGGTGTGGAGTGCCTAGCCCCCTGCAGCCCCATCCTGTGGGTGTGTGGCTGGCGGGGGGCAAGCAGACCCTGGGGACGGGCTGGAAAGGTTGGGAAAGCTTCTTGGTTTTGTCTTGGAAGAGACAGTAAAACAGACAGGAGGTAGGGCAAGCCCCCCAAGCCTCCTTGGAGACCTGTGAACTACCAAGACACTAAACGTGGGCATTCTGGCCGCTGTTGGGTGCAGCCCTTGGAGCCCAGAGGGAAACGTCCTTTTCCAAGCTCACACCTGCCCTGGGAAGGGGCCGGGGAGGGCAGCGGGACAGACAGCTCCGAGAAGCAGACCCCGGTGGAGTCCCTCTCCACACATCTGCCAGAGGAATCCCAGGCCTCTTGCTGCTCCGGGCTGCTTGCGCCAGGGAGCAGGTCACCTCCAGCTCAGCTCAGCTCCTGCGGTGCCACCAGCTGCGTCAGCTCTGGTTGAAGCCACCCTCCGGGTCTAACCCACCTTTCCAGAGGCTCTGGAGGCCCCAGCACCAGCCCAGCGAAGAGGGAAGTGGCAATGGCTGCAGGCCTGCCGGCTCTGCCCGGCGCTCCCAGCGCAGGTGGCCTCCTGCACTGAACATCTCAATAGATGGTTTAAATTGACCTTTCCAATCTGAGAATTTGTAAAGCTGGGGCTTCTTTCTCTGGATTCGCCCCCAAACCTCTGCCCTCCCCCCTCCCTCTGGGGTGGGACCGGGGAGCCGCAGTGCCTGGCAGCTCCCAGTCTCTCCGGGGGCCTCAGCGGTTCCCACCCTGGAAGCTCACCCCCCCGTCACACATCTACCGCACGAGGACAGCTATCCTCCTGAATGGACACTGTTCGACAAGAACCACCAAGGATAAAATCAGGGCAGGGGCCTGGGGTCCCTCTCCGCTCGACCCCAGCCGCGTGCCAAGATCTCGGAGGCAGAGACGCTGCCCGTCGGCATCCCGCTCCCGTCGCACCGGCTGCACTCCCTGTCCCCGCTGGGGCTGGGGCCATCACACAGCCACCAAGGCTGGGGGGAGCGATGAGAACGTGGGTCCCAGCTCTCGGTGGGAGGCACAGGGCGAGCGTTCATGACAGAGGGGCCACCCAGCTGCCCCGAGCTTGCACCAGAGCCTGGAGCTGATTTTATCCTTGGACGTCAAAGAAACCAAAATGGAGAGAAACAAAGGAAAGAGCTACACTGACCCCAGCCCAACATCCCAACCAAGGGCCCAAAGCAAAGAGCAGCCACGAAACCAAAGCAAAGGTCCAAAGGAAGAAGGAAAGTCGCTCACTCACTGGTTGGTCTGTGTTTTGCGTGAGTGCCGGTCGCAGGGATGGAGGTGCAAGCAAGCAAACGGGGCCGGGGCTTTCGCTGTTCGTAGTAATAACGTTTTGTACAAGTTCAAGAAGACGCATCATGTCTCAGGCTGGTCGCTCTCTGCTCTCTGCCCCGCCATCCCTCTGTCCGTCCGTCTGCCCGTGCCGGGCGCGAGAGAAAATCTGTTGGGTTGAGTGGGGTTTGTGGTCTGGTTTCCGTTTCCATCAGGGTCTGTTGGCTCCATTTCTCACTCTCTCCGACGCCCCTAGATGAAATACTCCTTCTTGTCGTCGCCACCGGCTTGGCCGCCCTCTGCGTTGATGATGGCCGTGTCGGCGTCTGGGGCGTCGTCCGACCCCTTGGCCTCGTGGGTCAGGTAGGTACCTGGGGGAGGAAAAGGGGTCAGCATAAGGGGGCCCTGCCAACGCCCTGCTCCCATGCAAGCAGGGGAAAGCTGGGCTGCCTGGAGGGGCCCTGACGGCAGAGCCCAAGGGCTGGCCGGAAAGCGGAGGTGAGAGGAAAGTCCTTTGGGTTTGGCCTGAAATGGAAAAAGTCACCGGTTTCCGTGGGACAAGCCCTGCCCAGGGACCGAGCCTCGCCAGGGCTGCTCAAGGCTTTCACAGCCACCTCCAGCCAAAGGATGAAACTGCCTCCCCCCTTTACAGGCAGCGGCTCTTGCCTGCATTTCCAGGCACGTCTCCTGCCTGCCCCCCCATCTGCCCCTCCCTGCATCCCCGTCCCTGTTCTCCCTCAGAAAACTGGAGAGTTTCTCTGCCAAACTGCCATCTGCAAGGAGGCTCCAGCTCCCGGCTGCCCCTAGAGCCAGCACGGCGTGGGGCGGAGGCGGCAGCTCTGCGGGGCTCCGAGGGCAGGGGTGGGGGGCTCTTACTCACACATCACCTCTGCTGGGTTTTGCCGATGTCTAGATGTGACCGTCTCCCCGTGTCTTACTGACATACCTGCTGGGCGGATGGAAAGTCCAGGGATGGCAAGATGGAAACGGTGGAGGGGAAGGAGGAAAAGGAAGGTGGAGGGCTCGAGGGCTGGCGAGGAGGGCAGGGAGAGGGAGGAAGTGGGGTCAGGCACAGATGGGGACAATCCTGGGGCCGTGGGTCCCCAAGCCATGAAGGAGAGATGGCGAAATGGGGTAGGAGCTGCCTCCCCCCCGTGCTGCCCAGCTCCAAGGACTCACTGGGACATCCCCACGCTGGGGTCGGTGCCAGCACGGGCACGGGCAGCAGCCCCCAAACCTAGGAGGGCTCTGTTGGCTGCGCTGGGTTTCTCCGAACACAGGGCAGGTCTGCAGGACGGGGAGCTGTCTCCCTTCACCCCTGCCCCATGTTTGGGGACGTAGCCCTGCTCCCAGAGACCCACCGAGGGGGGAGCACACCCTGCATTGCCTGCTCCAACGTGGCACGGGGGTCTTGGCTCCGTGCCCCCGCCGCCGCGCAGCTCCCCTGCCCCGTACCTTTGTGTCTGATCAGGTAGTGTCCCAACACGATGAGAAGACTGAGCAGGAGGAAGACAATGACGGCAACCACCCCGCCGATCACCGCGTGGTACGTGCTGGAGGTTGAGGGCACCGGGCTGGCATCTGCCCAGACGGCAAAGGGAGAGAAAACAGAGAGAAGGAGCTGCTGCGGATTCTGCTGTGTGACAGAGGCTGCTGCTCGTCCCATGGACCACTCCGGGCTGCAGGCACGTGCCTCGGAGGGCCTGATCCTGCTCGGCTCGGTACCGTCAGCTCGATCCTGCTGCAGACGAGAGCTGTCGAGGTGGGAGCAAGAAAAGGGAAGAGGCAGCGGGGCAAGCAAGGAGGGGAAAGCAATGGCCACCGGTGCCAGCTCCTGCAGGGAGTGAGCCGAGAGGAGCCCCCGCCGGCTGCGCTGGGAGCCCTGCCTGAGCGAGAACGCAGCCGAGCTGCGACAGACAAACCTGCCCCTGTGCCCAGCTGCCTGCAACGTGCCCGGCGAGCAGCAGTGGCAACACGCTTTGTGCAGCCTGCGGCACCTGCCTTCGGGCACAGCCACAATCCCACCGCCCCATCCTTCACGGTGGGATTTTTGCTGCAAAAGGGGAGGCTGAGCACACAGCAGAGCCAGGCTTGGCTCACTCCTCCCCCTGCGCCGTGCCAGCAGAAAGGTGACGTCCAGGCTGGCTTGGCCACACGCTGCACCCCAGGAGACAGCACCTCAAGGAAGGTGAGACCCCAAGGCCAGTCCCAACTCAGCTGCATCTTGTAGCGCAGGCTGTGCTAGGATCCTGCGTTAGCCGTGGGACACAGGGACAAATTCTCCTTCCGCTCCACTCTCCTTGTGCCCCATCAGCCCGAGGCGGGGACGGAACCACAGAAACGTTCAGAGAAGGCATTCAAGACGGGATGGGGTGGGAATGACAACAGGGGAGTCGACAGGACAGAAGGACGACATCTCACATGGACACAAGGCACAGGTCGCAGCTCACAGGCAGCTGCTGCCACAGCCCGCCAGGAAAAGCTGGAAGGACCATTACGCAGCCCAGGCTCTGGGGGCTTGGCTCTTTCTGCTGTGTACCACCACCCCGAAGGGCCGAGATGGTGGCTGCAGAGCCCGCACGTGCCAGTGAGCAGCTGCACGGGGACCGGAGCCTGGCTGGGCACCTGGGACGTGGCAAGGGTGTCCCTGGCCCAGGGCTGGGCCACCATCCTCTTGTGGAGCTTCTCCCGCTGGGCTGGGGAGCAGCCGTAAAGAGAGAGAAAAGGAGCTTACGGTACCTTGGATGGGAGCTGGAGTGAAGGATGAAGCGGTGGCCATGGAAGCATGAGAGATGGGCTGGGAAGAGCCCGGCGGAGGGGCTGGAGTGGAGTGAACGTGTGGGGTGGGGAGCTGGGAAAGATCTGGGGAGGACGACAAAAACACAGGGACACGAATCAACCCCGGGAGGTACCGGTGAGGCGTGACAGAGCCCATCGGAGGGAACCCTTGCTCCCCCCAGCCTGACGGGACCCGTTCTTCTCAGTGGCTCCTTCCATGACCCCCTTCTTGGCCATGGGTCCCGTTCCTCTTCTCCTGCCACAGTCCTCTGGGACACGCTGCTGTCAACATCTCCCCCCATCTCCTACCCTGCCAACACCCCCGGTCACCCCTTCCTCCATGAGGGACCCCACTGGGACCCTCCTGCCTGGGAGCCCTCAGACTGCGGTGGCTGGAAAGCGTCACCCACCGTGAGGTGCCACCTACACTTTCCTACGCACACCCTCAGGGACCACTCCATCCCCGCTCTCCCTCGCTGCAGAGCAAGGCGGCCGCTGCAGCAGGCAGGCTCGAGGGCTCGGCCGGGTAAGATGGATGCTCCAGTGACGGTACGCGATACCCAAGCGGCTCTGGGGAAAAAGAGGGGGGATTTGACAAGGGGAACCAAGCCTAGATGTGGAGCCCCTCTGCCAGGGGCTGTGACACCAAGCGGGTGAGGGACACTGGTGTCCTGGGTGCTGTGTGCTCGTGGACGGTGCTGAAGCACTGCGGATGCTGCTGTGAACCTGTGAAGGAGTGCTGGGCACCCTGGGGCCTGCTGTGCTCCTGGATGGGTGCGGAGGGCTTTGGGTGCTGCTGTGTGCTCACAGCCGGGCTCAGGAACCAGCTCCCTGTGCAGATCCCGCACCCATGGGGACTGGAGAGGGACACGAGGGGTGGCGAAGGAATGACTGCACAGGGTTGGGCATTTAGGGGCTTGTCCTGGGCAGGCAGAGGAGAGGGACTCAGGGGGACAGGGTGCCCGAGGTGCCACTGCTGCCATGCGCTCCCTCTACCCACAGCCACGTTGGAGGGGAAGGATGCCAAGAGTGCCCAGAACAGGAGGGGAGGGAAAGGGGACGGGAAAGGGAAGAGCTGGAGCATGTAGAGTGCTGGAAGATGGAAAGTCCAAGGCTGGCAGAGAGGAGAGAGGTGGCAAGAGATTTGGCAGAAGAGGAGGTTAACCCCAAATCCAAGGCCAAAACCGCGGGGAAACAGGTTCCTACAACGGGGGAAAGCTGCCAGGCAAGGGGTGCTGAGCGCAGGAGCCGGGCAGCACTGCCACCAGCCGGGG